AGCACAAAATACATTTAACTTCTATATAGATGGCTCTGTAATTGACATCAGTACAGATCAATGTACAATAGATATTGGATGGGTACAAGTTAATGATTCTAACTAAATAATTCACAAATTCTTAGCTAAAATTTATTACTAGCCATTTTCTTATAAAGCTGAACTAATGTCAATTCTTTCAGCTATTTTAATTACTTCTCACAACTCAATAATCAACATCTTTACTGATTCTCAGTCTATAATTACTAAATATTCAAAAATATATACTATTCTTTTAAATCTTAACAAGCTTTTCAAATTTAGCTCATGACCAATATGGCACATTCTGCTCAATATTATCAAATCTTATAATCATCAGATTAGCTTTTACAAAGTACAAGCCCACTCTGATAACATTCATAATAATTTAGCAGACTTACTAGCAAAACAACATAATTCATCATCTACATTATACCTCAACTATACAAGCATCAACAATCTATATTATATAATTCTTTGGGACCAACATTTTATAGAACATCCAACTAGAAGCTTCACCAAAAATATCTGCAAAGCCTACATTTTAGCAATGTAGTCCTTCCAAAAACATAACAAAAAATGGAAAGCCTTGGTCTCCCAAATTGATTGGAGATCAACTTGGTTTTTCTTTAACTATAACCAAAAAACAACTTATAATGTTACAAACTTTAAACTTAACTACTTTAAATCTTTCAAAATTAAAATCTTATTAAATGAACTTCCTATCTATTTTTATTTTCACAAAATCTATCCATATACATTTTACAATACTAACTGTTTTAATTGCAATCTTGCTAATTCTTTAACCCATTGGTGTACATGCTCAAACCCATTATAGTGATTGGAACTGGTTTTATTTTTATTAACCGGTTTTATTAATGTTTCAAAAATCACAACCGAATATAAATCGGTTATATTATCTCTGGTTAAATTCAGTTAACCAGTTATAACAATCTGGTTAAATCTGATTAACTGGTTATAACAATCTGGTTAAATCCAATTAATCGGTTGTAACAATCCAGTTGAATTCAATTAATTAGTTATAACAATCCGGTTAAATCTGGTTAATCAGTTATAATAATCTGTTTGAATTCAGTTATATTACAACCTTAAGCTATCCCATAAATCATTCATCTATATTATCAATTCTGAGTTTGTACACTTTAATGCTTTTGATATATACAGTATTATTAATTCTTAGTTTTTTGTGCACTTTAATGCTTTTGATATAAATTATCAATTTTAAGTTTGTGATCGTAAAAATTCAAATTCATCTGAAAATGTTATAGCAATTAGTTATGGCACTTGCTATTTGAGTAAACAATATATTTGAATTTCCAAAACTGTAATTATTGAAATTCATATGATAATCAGTATGTTATTGGGTTATATTATTTGAGTGATATCATTCTTATGGGTTTGTGCACTTTAACGTTCTTGATTTATTATATCTGAAATTATTAAAATTTAATCTACAAAGTAATATGATAATCAGATATGTCATTGGGTTATATTATTTAGGTGATATCATTCTTATGGGTTTGTGTATTTTAACATTCTTGATTGTATATATCCGAATTTATTAAAAATTTATCTACAAAAGTAATAGTATATGAAATATATAATAAACTAAGAATCTATTCAAAGTTGTGATAGTATGTGAAATCGATGTTTATGATCTGGTTATAATATAATAAAGGTTACTATTTGCATTTGAGAATTGGTCATATCTAAAAATTATCAAGAATCTATCCTAAAATGTAATAGTGTGTTATTTCAATGTTCATTACGATCAGCTATGTTGTAACTAAAATTATCAAAATTGTCATTTATTCAAAAATGTAATAGTAAGTGAATATACGAGCATAATCAGGTTATAGTACATAGTATTTGTTATATACGGTTAATTAAAAAAGTGTTAAATTCTAAAACCATAATAATTATATAAAAAAAAAAGACAGAATTATGTCTCACAGAATTATTTTTGTACTATAAAGTTTTGTAATTTTCGAGATTCTGACATATTATATAATGATAAATACAAATAGCTAAAAAACCTGTACCTTAACAGGCCACATTTAACTCTAAACCTAACTAATTATGTATACAAACTAGATAACTTATATATATGATGCAATTCAAAAACAACTTAAAAAAATATATATATAATTGGGAGGCCCCACAGCAAAAGGTGATGGGTCAAAAAAAATTTTTTTGTAAAAACTTTATTTTTGCAAAAATTAGATCATTTAGAACACAATATTAAAAAACTACAGAAAAAAATTTTTTGGCCCATCCACACCTTTTGCTGTGGGGCCTCCCATATATGCAAAACAAATGCAAGATAAATTCTCACCCTATAAATTATATATATTACTGCATATTATTGTTTCTTTAATTCACTATTAATTATTTCAATTACTTCTTTATATCATATAAAAGTAATTAATTATGCCACATTAACAAAATATCAAATAAACATATATCAAAAATTTTCAATCTAACGTAAATAGACCAGACCAAAATTAACAGTAACCAATCATTGATTGTAACTCTTACTAACAATAAAATTATGGCAAATCAAATGTGATAATATAAATACAAAGATAAGAATTTTATCATACAATACTAATACTTTTTAAAACAAAACTGAAAAATGTAATTTTTTAATCTCTCATGCTTTTTATATGCATACATTTAATCCAAATTAATTATGCCAATCATGTTATCAATATCTCATACTACAATTAGCTCTAACTTTCAATAAATCGTAATTGACATAACGCCATTGGTCACTTTCCTATCGATACCCTTAAAACTCAATTGATAAACTACTTATGACATCACCGTAATCATAATTACTCATATAATCATGAAACCTTTCAAATCTGAACTCTAAACTAAAGAGATAAGTACTAATATTATATTATACTTTTTCTTTTAAATACGTAACTAACTACAATATTTAAAAATTGTTACAGTACTAGACAGCAAGAAACATTCAATATTTATATATAAAATATAAAGTGTTATAACTCAAGAACAAAATACTTTAACAAAAATTCCTTTTACAGATTTATCGCCTTTTATTCAAGCTACAATTCTGTTAAAAAAGATTTTTATTAGATTTACAATTTTAAAAAATTATAATACTTTAAAGCTTATATGTATCTAAAAATTTGGCATTTAATATATAAAAAAATATCTATATGATTTATTGACCAATCAAAATGATTTATATAAAAATTGACCAATTATAATTGATTATGTAATCTTCAAGTTTGGTGCTTATCAAAAAAAATTGGATGTGTTTTGCTATCCCGTACTGTATAAACTAAAATATTATTCTTGTAGTGGAAACATATCAGCATGAACTCTATTACATTTTAAAAATAAGACCCTATTTACTAAATCAGGTGACAAACGAGTTCGCTTTGATGAAATGTGATTACCCACATCGGAAAATAGTCTCTCACTTGGCACTGAGGTCACTGAAATAGAGAGATATTTGCATGCCAATTGAGCTAAAATGGGCAGATTACTTCTATTTTGTAACCACCATTCTAATGGGTTTTCACTAATTTTTAATTTCTTTTATTCTTATATAACATGCTATCTTACTTTCTTCTTCCTTGCCTGTTTGTGCAAAATTTGCTTCCAACTCACTAAAAAAATCTTTATCATTATCATAATTATCATCATGACCTCTTTCTTTAATGTCATCTGAAATAGCAAGATTTATCTTTAATTCTTTATACTGGTCTTCTACCAAATTCTGTGCTTTGTTTCGTTCAACTGATGTTGTCTAATTAAAATGTTTAAACCTTGGATCAAGAAATATGACAATTAAAGCAATATCTGATGGTGCTTCCTATAATTCGTCCATTAACAAATAAATAGCAGCATGAACTTTCTTAAGCAAGCCAGTAGTGGCAACTAGTGTCAAATACTCTACTTGATTTATATCTTCCAATTCAGTATTATTGGATCATGTATATGTTTTTCTCTTTCATCCTTGATCATGAGTAACTATCTTTTGATGAAATTGTCTGTATGCATATTGCCAGTATTGATGAGTACCAGCAGTAGGGATATCATCATCACTTGTTTCATCACTTTCACTCTTCTCACCTTTAACCAGGTTTAAATCACTACCCAAAAAATTTCAGATTGTGTGATTTCATAATTACAATATAAATTATTATATGATAATTTTTAATAGAATTTCATAAAATAGTAAAAGTGAAAATATAATTAGTATTTTAAATATGTGAATGATATAAATAACATAATCTGAAATTTTTTTAGGTGGTGATTTAAACCTGGTTCTCACCTTCACTTTCAGCCTTTTCTTCATAAACAAGATCCAAATAGATATCTACTGTCTTACCTTCCTTTGGCACAAATTCTTTCTTGAGTAATTTCATATATGGATGAACAAGATTAATTGTTGAGTATTTAGCATCACATAAATGTCATGTTACCTTTTCAATTGGTTTTAGCAAGTTCACCATATCTTGCAAAAATCTAAATACAGTAAAAAATAAAGAAAAAGTATAAAAATCTTAATTTTTGAATATTATACTTCAAAAAATAGAGTTTATCAGTCTTCTATATATATGCTATTTCTATAGAATAAGATTTTAAAAAATAGTAACTGAATAGAAACTTAATTACCTGGCATCCAAGTAATTGATATCTTAAGAGTTAAAAAAAAAAACTTACTCTTTTTCATCAGCTGTTAAGCACAATCTGTCTAGTTTTTCTTCTTCTTTTTGTGAAATGTGATCTGACTTGGCAAGTAACGAAGTAGAAACAAATCTCATTGCATTATGCAATTCCAAAACACAATTTCAAGCCAAGTATGTGGCATTCCATCTAGTTTTTACTTCAGTTAAAACATCAAGAGGGTTTTCAAAACTATTTTGACTCGAATTAAATTCACACTGCACTTCACATAACCATTGTGCCTGTTTAGGCAGTTAAAAAAAAGCCTGTAAACTTTTAACGTGACGATGAATGGCTTTACATTGTTTTAATCCTTCCCTAACTGACAACTGCAGAGTGTGCACAGCACAAGGTTGGCATACTATATTGTTAAAATAGCTTTCACGTAATAAATTATTCCTTTAACTATATTACTGCCATTATCAGTAGCTAGAGTAAAAACTGTTGTTTTAAGACACCATTCACAAATTATTCAAAACAATTCTTCACTAATTACTTCTCTAGAGTGTGGGTATGCAAGATAGTCACAAGAAAGTAAAGCTTCTTGAAACTTAAAATCTGAGGACAACCAAGTTGCCGTAACACCTAAATACCCATGGCAAGACTTGGCTGTCCACAAGTTAGTAGACAAATGAACAGCTATTGCGCTACTACTAAGTAGAAATTTTAATTGATCTTGATTTCAATTATATGCTTCATAGATTAATCCCTTGACAGTTTTGTTACATGGCATTCGGAATTCAGATGCACAAGTATAAAGTAACTCATGGAATGATTTCTCTTGTAAAATATAAAGAGACTCAACAAACCAAATAATAAATTGAACCAATTTTCTTGTAATTAGTTGTTACATATATGATGAACATGGTGGTACCATATTATTAAAATAGTCAGTAACCTTGGCTTGATCACACTTTGGCTAGTAAGTAAAACCAATTAATTTTTTTAATATTAATAATAATGAGTTACTATAAATTCTCGAAATAGTACCCATACCTGCTATTTTGAGAATTTACAGTACAATAATTTAATTTAATAATCCATACCTTATTATATTCATCCAAATAATCAGTATAATTATCTTTAATTATATTGTGTTTATCATGTAAATGAGCTATTAAATTGGATGTGTTACCCTCTTTATGAGAATATGAATAGGGATTTTGTCGAGTTCCAGCAAGATTACAATCACATATTTTGCAGTACGCAAAGTCAGGGTTGTTTTTATCTATACGAAAAAAAAAGTAGTATGGCTTTGATTACTACGGGTAACTCCTAAATTAGCTTTTCATTTCTTTCGGCCCACAGTTGATGTAGTTGATGCAGTTGATGGTGTAGTGTTAGATTCTTCAGCATCTGAGAGAAGAGGTGAAGACATTTTTTTTGAATTTTTGAATTAGCGAAATTGAAATTGAAATTTATTATGAATATTGTCATTATATATTAATTCTTTATACTAAATAGAACCCAACTTTTATAAATACTGTATTAAAGTTCATTAGGATTAATGCAATCAGATTATGTGATATCTATAACATGGCAATTGTTTGTCAACAAGATATCAGGAAATTCTCAAATTTGTCAAATTTTTACACTAGAGATGTGATCTGTTATCTGTTTTCCTATTTAAAATTTAAAGAATATCAAGATTTTCTGTGATTTGTTATAAAATTAAACTGGCATATATCCGGATCACATTTCTATCTCACACTATCTTATCATTATACAAATCTGAACCTTTAGAATATTTTCGAACTAAAATTATAAGATTATACTGAGAATAAAAATATGCATTAACAAAATATATCAAAAAATTCTAGTGTTCATTTTTACTAATAGATTAATTTAATTTAAGAACCTAATTTTATAAATATATTATTTTACAACAGAATTTCAACAAAATATGAATATAATACTTGTATAATCGTAGAATATGCTCATTAGTGTTATCATCAGATCTATTAAAATAGTATATGTATACTCAAAATTAGAATTTAGAACCAGGTAAAATTTCTTTACCTAGGTCATCCATATAACTTGAAACCAGGTAACTGTGAAAATGAGTGGCATATATGCTATAGCTATTACTAATTAAATTCTATAAAAAAAGTTTTTGTTAACAAGTATCTCGCTATTACGTTCAATATGACATTAGGTTTGCTAGCAACCATTTTCTCGACATCTAAGCCAACACAACTCTAAATAAAGAAACATTGTCTATGATATAGTTGTTAGTAAAATACCTATACACAAGACAGATCTGGTACATATTTCATGAATGGGTAATGCCAAGGAAAAATCAGACTTCGATCATATAAAATTATATAACCGAAGCCTGTTTCTCTTAGTATCAACCAAATAATCTGACTTTGTGTGATGCGTAAAGTGAACTCTAGCTGATACTGTCAATTTATAATGAACTTTTGGTACATTATACAACTGACAATAAACTACACAAATATTAATGCGATTGTTTAGATTTGCAGGGAATAGAATCCATGCATTTTTTATTAGTACCATTTGCTTTTTAAATGATTTTGATTATTGTAATTATCAAAATTCATCATTATTTCATATATAACCTGATTTGATCTGAGTTGCAAATTAGAGACCTGGATCATCCATTTTGACACAAGTGACCAGATGAACTACTCAAAATAGCATCTTGAAATTATTATATATGCACAATGCAAGAAATTCAAAAACTTCAGTCACTTTATATAGAATAAAGGCTGGCTAACTTATTATAGATAAGCTAAATATATCATTCTCAATCATGACTTACTTAGTATGCCAGTATACGTAGAATAGTTGTTAATAAGTACATGTCGTATGATTCTTGATGTATGATTTCTATGCAAAGAGATTGAGAATTTTAAATTTTACGCTTTATTGATATCGATTATTTCCATATAAGAGAATGAAAATCCTAAAAATTTTTTGTGTAGCAAATTATGCACATGTATATATATGCATAAAAAATTGATACAGTACCCTGCATCAAATATCATTAATGTGATACAACGTAGGAAATTTACAAGCTTCAATTACTTTATATAGAAATAGAGGAATAACAACAACCAGTTCTTTGATAACGAGCTGTTTTCAAAAAGGTAAGAATGAATATAAATCACTTATTACAGATTTCTAAATTGTCAAGATCCACACTAACCAGATTTTGAATTTTTACTACTCTTTAGATATTCTGCAACTTAGTGAGTTGGATATTTAGAAAATATTTATTTTGCAACATGTTTATATATGTATCATCTTTTAGATTTGCACTAGGTTATAAATATAAATAGTAAGTTTTAGAAAAATGTAAAGAAATTAAGTATTAACAACTATATGTATTATTGTTAACTGTTAAAGAAATATATTGTTATAGGATAGATTTCTATTATTGTATTATTTATTAGTTATAGTTACTTTAATGCTTTAAATATTTTAATGCCTTAAGCTTGTAAAACTAGTTGCTTAGTCCTTTAGTGTAACTAGTCGCTTAGTCTCTTAGTGTAACTAGTCGCTTAGTCTCTTAGTCACTTAGTCGCTTAGTCACTTAGTCACTTTATCACTTAGTCACTTAGTCGCTTAGTCGCTTTGTTACTTTGTTGCTTAGTCGCTTTGTCGCTTAAACCCAAAGATATATAAACCCTCTAAATTTCCCCAAGTAAAAAGTATTCAATTCAAGTTAGTTCAGTCCCAAGAAACAGACAATTCCCCTTCTTCTTTATCTTGTAATTTATACTTTGAATCCTTTAGGACAGGTGCCTAAAGATAGTCCTTCTTGCAATTCTTTAATAAATGACTTTAATTATAAATCACTATGTAATAATTATCGAACTGCCTCAGAGATGGGTATAGTTTCTTGACAATGTCTAACAGGAACTATACTTCCCT